AGGCTGAGGGGTAGATGATGAAACTGGAGAAATGTTACTAGTTTAGTTTAGTTTAGTTTAGTTTAGTTTAGTTTAGTTTAGTTTAGTTTAGTTTAGTTTAGTTTATTATTGATTAGTCCCACAACCTTATCAATAAAACAAAACAAAATTAAATCATGTACTATACAATATATAGTCCAATTCCAAAAAGGAAAACAGACAGGAGAAAATACAGTGATAAAATACATATGTGATAATACAAGGAGTCAGTAATCAGATAAATGAATCTCCCTTACAGAACACCCCAGTTTGTTCAATGTATTGGGTTCTTAAGACTGTTGCCTTAGTTATAAACTTAGCAGTTCTGCATACAATATGCACATTAGAACCCAGGAGGAAATAAGACAATCTGTGGTTTGAATCCCAGTATGCTGTTCTTTCCAATAAGGATGATAGATATTTAAGCCTAATGGGTGCATCTAATTGGCAATTGAACAAAATATGGAAAATATTTTCAATGGCTGGTGAACTGCATATGCAGGTTCTCTCATGATATGGCAAGTGTAGAAGCGCCCATATTTGGCCATGGAATCCTTCAACTCAAATCTAGCTCTGGAATAGGCCCTTTTTAAAAATTGTGGCAGACCCATTGATAGACATTTTTCAGGTTGAAAAGTAATTTTATTTGTAGCCAACCATCTTAAGGATCTATTTTTAGTCAATAATTCCATGTCAGTTTGCACACTAATATCTAGGACTCTCTGTTTAAAAATTTCTCTTGCTTGATGTTAACATATAGAATTGGCTTGCTTATGAATTGGCTGTGCAGCTTTATAAACATGTGTGAGGATTGCACAATGACATCTGTGGAGTATCAAACAGGTGTGTCTGATGAAAGCAACATCACACTGTTGCAATCTCACCCACCTCTTTGGAATGTGAATTGCTATGTCATCCACAACTCCAAAAGAGGGAGAGTTATAGCAGAATGATGCATCAGGATTAACAACTTGACAAAAGCAGCTGGAACATAAGAACATAAGAAGTGCCCTGCTGGATCAGACTCCTGGCCCATCAGTCCAGCAGTCTGTTCTCACAGTGACCAACCATCTGCATAAAGAAGCCCACTAGTCTCCGAGCAGTTGGCCTTCAAAGACAGTCATGCTGCCATCCAGAGTAATAGCCATTGATCTCCATGACTTTCATTAATTGGCCCAATCTTTTTTTGACGCCAGTCATAGACATCTGAAATACCAACATTTAATTATGCATTGTGTAAAAAATATTTCCCAGAATTCTGATTAAAAGAGTATAAGAGGCAACAATGAGCAAATTCTGGGAAGTGCAGTGAAGCTCTATGCTTGGTGGGGCATGTGCAGACCAGAATTTTGCTCCTCAGAAATCATAAAGAAATGTATAAATGTAACAAATATTTGTTTATTTAGATAAAGTATATTTTGTATTTCATATTTTATATGCATATGTAATAGAAGGTTGGTTGCTAAATGCAAGAAGAACAGTATATAATGAAAGTAAAGGATTCACAAGAATAAACAATAAACATTAGTGAACTTAGCACTGAGCAGAGTAAGACAAAGATCTGTGAATCACCTTGGTTTTTTAATATATTTAAGAATAAATGTATAATGAATGACTGTGGGTAGCATTAAAGTTGTCAGTTGGCACATAAATGTATACACAGTATGGTACAGATAATCTGTTGGTGGCTAAGAAACTGAACTATAGACTATATGATAAAAGGAGCATGGATTTGAAAATTAGTGTATCTCAGATCAAAGTAGTTACATTTGATAGGCAAAATATAACATATATGAATAGTGAAAAACTACAGTTAGTAGATAAATTTGTGTTCCTTGGTAAAATATTTACTAAAGATACAGTAAGAAAATCAGTGGGGACATTTTAAGGCATGCAACTGCTAGTAGCAAGGTGTTAGGTTCTGAAAGGAAAGAGATAAAACCAAAAGTACACCTGTGTTCCTCCCTCTCTGATTACTTTTTAAGGCCCACCTATCACTTATGTGTTGTGTTGGCCTCTTAAACAGGAGTT